CCCCTCGACAGTTGCCTCGTGCCCACGGGTGCACATGGCCACCCACCGCTGCTGCGTGGGAGTGTCCGGAGCAGCAGGCAGGAGGCCCCGCTGGTGGCTGCAGCGCTTTGCATGTGGAAGAATTTTCTCTTTTGCAGACAAGCTCAGTCAGAGCTCTAACAGGCTGGTGGTTGTTCGCAGAGAAAAACCGAACAGAAGACGAATCAACTTCATACCTTTGAGTGAAACATGAGGGAAAATCATACTTTACACTTCAGAGCCTTCATGTTTAGTGAAAACAAGAAATGAAATGAGTTCATGAAAGACTAATTGCCTGGTTTTTTTTATGCATGAGCCCCAGCATTCCTAGCACATGCAGTTACAGCTTATTTTCAAAGAGACCAATTATTTCATTAAAACATCAGCTGCACACTTCCAGATTTGGTATAACAAGTCTTCTCCTCTTCATACTTCTGGCCTAATATTTTGCCATTTTTTGGTTTAAGACCAAAGAAAAGAGAGTCTGAGGAGAAGGACTTAGGGGTGTTGGTGGATGAGAAGCTCAACATGACCCGGCAGCGTATGCTTGCAGCCCAGAAAGCCAACCATATCCTGGGCTGCATCAAAAGAAGCATGGCCAGCAGGTCGAGGGAGGTGATTCTGCCCCTCTACTCTGCTCTGGTGAGACCCCACCTGCAGTACTGCGTCCAGCTCTGGAGCCCTCAGCACAGGAAAGACATGGACCTGTTGCAGCAGGTCCAGAGGAGGGCCACAAAGATGATCAGGGGGCTGGAGCACCTCCCGTATGAGGACAGACAGAGAGTTGGGGTTGTTCAGCTTGGAGAAGAGAAGGCTCCGGGGAGACTGTATAGCAGCCTTCCAGTACCTGAAGGGGGCCTACAAGAAAGCTGGAGAGGACTCTTTATGAGGGAGTGTAGCAGCAGGACTAGAGGTAATGGCTTTAAACTGAAAGAGGGTAGATTTAGATTAAATATAAGGAAAAAGTTCTTCGCTATGAGGGTGGTGAGGCACTGGAACAGGTTGCCCAGAGAAGTTGTGGATGCCCCCTCCCTGGAAATGTTCAAGGCCAGGTTGGATGAGGCTTTGAGCAACCTCGTCTAGTGGAAGGTGTCCCTGCCCATGGCAGGGGGGTTGGAACTAGATGACCTTTAAGGCCCCTTCCAACCCAAACCATTCTATGGAGTGAAAAAAAATCAGTGTCTTTGCAATATCTGTAATTTACTAACAGCTATTAAAACCTGGGATTTAGATTCCAGCCTTTCTCCTCCACAAAGTAAAGGAATACTGCAGGACTTTAACCACCTTGGTGCAAAACCCATGGCAGCTCAGGCAGCCAGGAAGGACCTGTGTGGCAGGATGCTCTTGCAGGTACAAGGACAACAAATGAGGGTTTGAAATGAGCTTGTGCCTGGAAACTTGAAGGGAAAGATCAGGAAGCAATAGGGATGAAAGCTCCTTGAATTGTCTAATATTGCCTCTAATATTTCACTATCTGGAAGATACCCAAGGAGGCTACATAAGACATCTAGTTTATACACAGCAGAAACTGAAAGCTAGGTGATGGCATGGGGTAAAAGATGAAAAAAGGGAAAGGAAAATAGCTACAGAACCCTCAAAAGTAGTCAAAAGGATGCCCACAGAGGAGATTTCTTCCAGACAAGCCACATATAAAGCATAATTCAGTAAAATGTTATCATCAGAAAATAGAGTTCACAGTAAGCAGTATCTGACTCTGCAGCATAAATCTTCGTTACAAATGAAGATGTTTGAGCAATCACAATCCCTCTGACGAAGCAGAAAGCAGAAGCCTCCATGCCTGCCTGTGCAGAGCAGAGTGCTGCAGTCTTGGCACTCAGTGGAGAGATGCTATCGGGGGTTGCCACGGAAACCGGAGGATGCAGACCCAGCAGCTTTGACTTTGCATAAACTGACAGTGAGTTCAGCTGGGGATGAGACACTGAGAATGCTGGTGGTTTCCTCCAGCTCCCAGGCAGGGTTGTGATGAGGCTGTATTTGAAGCTTTCCTACAGTCAAGTCTCCTACTTCCACCACTTCCACAGCCCACCCTTCATGTCCCCCCACCATGTACAGGCACAACCACACATGCATGCACCCCACTTTCCTCCTCCTTCCTCCCAGGTTAGACAACACACACAAAGGTCATTTTCCTCGCCCATCGCTTCCATCCAGCTTCCTCCTCACTGAGCTGCCATGTGACAGCTTTTAAGTATTTTTGAGCTTTCTGGATAGGGATATTCTCTGGAAGCAGAGGTATTTTTCTATTGAAGTTCCTTTCATTACAGAGGGAGCCCTGATATCCCACCTCCCTTCACAAACCTAGAGAGAGCAGGAAACACTGTATGATTTGTACAGATCTACAAAAGATCACTTCAGAATTTACTGGGTTTTTTTCTTCTGAAAACAGCCTTGATTGAGAGGGAACCTCCTGTCATACAGGAGAGTCCAACACCAGATGAATTACTGCCACCTTTGGCAACATTGCTCTTACCTTACTATCCTGTATTGCTCCCCTTGTGCTATCCCCAACAGGAAAACTGCTGTGGAACACATTGTTGTGGTTTGGAGAAAAAAGATCCCCTTTTTCTCTGAAAAGCCTGAAGTGATGTAAATTTCATTTTAAAAGTCCCTTTAGGATAAATTTCTACTGTTCATTTATTTATACACACCTTAAGGCAGCATTATTTGCCCACAAGTTTTATGTATGTTAATTCAAATGCAATCTTAAACTTGTGTGCAGATTTTCCATATATTTTTCCTGTTGTTGCACCTCTGAAGCTGAGACCCTAAAGTCACAGAGCTGTAACATGGTTTTTCTTCAGTGAAATGGCATCCCAAAGCCATGCATTAAATCTTCTGGAAGATAAAATTAATGCTCATAAACGCTACAACAGTTATATCTCATACAAGGAGCAGAACAAATCAGCACTGGGCATTTATGCTTCATAATAACAACTGTGAAGACAGATCCAAGGAGCGCTATTTTCATTGCAGATTTGTATCCCCCACAGAAAAGATTATTCAGATGTGACACAGGCAGATCAAATATGTGTAATGTGTGAAGTGGCCACTGATACAAGATATTTCAGGAAGGGAGATTTTCAGCCGGTGGCAAGGGATAGCACAAGGCAATGTTAAGTGACAGGCTAGTACTCCAGCTTCAATTTACCACCCCTTCTCTACACGGGCGACTTCCATTTTCAAATTTAAACTGATTTCTTTCGTGTTATTTGCGAAAGTGAGAAAGACTTAAGGCCTGTTTATTTGACAGGATGGCAGCTGTCACTCCATGTAAACAGACCCCGAAATGAAAGAGCAATCTAGCACATGGAAGTAGAAAGTCCTGACACTTTAATTATCTGAAGAGATTACAAGATGAAAGTCTTCCTTGAGGCAAATGTATATTAGTATTGATACAGTCATTGTGCTTTTCAGTAAAAGAAATAGGAGTCTGTATTTACATAAGAAACTATAGTGTCTGAGATCTTTAAATATCATATTTATGGAAATGATTCTGAATTACAGCATTTACAAAATAAAAACAAGCTTGAATAAATATTCAGTCCATTAAATAAGATTTTTTTTTTCACAGAAGCAACTTTTTGTGCATATTTATTTCACAATTGAAGTTTGTTGTATTTTTTATCCTATAAAAGAAGCATTAAATTTGTTGGTTTTTTTCTAAAAATAAAACTGCAATAATCATTGCAATGTGAAGCCTGAGATTTAAGCCTGAATAGGTATCATTGCTTGCACCACATTACCCACCTCCCACGCCCTTCCAAACTCTGGTGAATGCTAACACTCCAACTCAATGATTCCATGGGAAGAATTTCAGGGAAATAATAATTAAAAAAAATATAAATAAGGTGAGGATAACACATCATAGCTGACATTGTCTACAAACAGCATCATAAGGCTTGTGCATTACACATAAACTAGGTGAAGCTGTTTCATCTGATTCAAAACAACAGTAGTGCCAAACTGTTGTACCCTTATATGGCTCATTAACACTGAATATTAAACCACTTAACAAAGGGAATGTCCCCCCAAAAATAAATTTAAAAAAATCAACACTGGCCAGTTTTGCTTTATCATTTTGAATGACGACCTTTCTTGAGCATGATACCGCAAACAATTTCTCATCCTTTTTTGTATTTATCACTTTGAAACACAGTGTGTAACACTGCAAGTCAGGAAAGGGGATACAGCAAAGAGCTCTTGATCTCGTTTCCTCTGTAACCACAGCGCACACTGTCTTGCTTTTCATGTGGCTAACCTAGAGCATGTCCAAACGCCTTTGAAACCTCAGTGCTCAGGGAGCTCTTAATGCAAATAGTTTGTGCAAGATCATAGCGTGAATCCATGTGAGTCTTATTTCTCCTCTCCAAGTGGAGATAAAAATTAATCCCTGGTGTTTCAAATAAATACAAACGTCTTCGAGTTGTTAGCATGAGTGAAGTAACAGTATGCAATATTTTACACAGTTACTCTGCCAAATGTGGACAACAAGTACCCTTCTCTGGTTGACCATTCTGTAGGACCTTTTGAATATATCATTACGTATTTGCCTTTTAAAAACCATTTAAAAAACTCAGTACAGGAGAAATAGTTTGTCACATCTACTGAATTTTGCTGCTAAACTTTTTCAAAAATATGTATTTTAATATTAATTCATTAATTTGGTAACCATTTTGTCTGAAGTTTGTTAAGTTTTAAATGCTGATATAGAAACCAAAGCTCTGGGTTATAATTTTATTAATAGGATTTAGCATAAATGATGTAGATTATAAATACTTCCAGAACTCCAAAATATGGAACTAGAAGTTGTAAAACTTAATTTTTAGAAGACAACTTGGAGTTATTGCTCTGCTCGGTAAATGAATGGCAACAGAAACATACTGCTTCAGGACCCTCAGTGCTTCCTATGTCATTCACAGAAAATTTTGCCTTTGTAAATATCGAATATGGATTTGAAATAGTTTTGCTTTAATTAATCCTAGCATAGGTAGCAAAAATCTAGTAATGGGAAAGTTAAACCGCAGCAGGAGGGAGAGCGCTGACATCCACAGCCATGCTGGTATTCTAGTGAGCACAGAAGTGCCCGAGCTTTGGGACTGATTTGCTGGGATGGACTAGTTAACCGGCTACTCTGTTCCTAGCATGTAAGATAAGCAGCAATGCTTGTTCAATTCTCTGAGCCCTATTTCCTTCCACACAGTGCATTTGTTCTGCATATGGCATCGTAACATTAATGTTATAAATTTATGGAAGACTGTACTGTAGCCTTAGAGCTACAGACGCTTCATAGTTCCCTTTAGCAGCTTAGTAAAATGCAATAAAAACTGTCTGTACAAAATTTATAATAATGGATGTCAAAGCCTGCATGCCCTCACAGGGTCCCTCTTTCAAGTTAATTCTTGGCTTAGGTCAAATATATCAGTCCGTGTAAGACTCCAGAAGACACACCAGTAGTTTAATACGTCAGATACCAGCTTTGTCACTATAGAAAGGAGTGACATGGAACATGTAACAGTGAGTGCAAACACGGACAGGCTTCATCTGACCATAACGAGGTAATGGAGCAGAGTGGGAGGAACAGCGAGAACAGAAGATCTGAAAAACAAGAGGGAGACTTCACTTTAGTTCCTTTGAAGAACCAGATGGGACAAAATTGATTTCAAGAGAGGGCAAAGAAGACTGTACGCGCTGGGCTCTTGTGAATTGGCAACACCAACCTCCCTCAGCACAGCAAGTGAAAGCCCTCTGCAGGCAATTCACAACCCGATGACCAATTAATCTGACTGTGCTTAGCCTCCTCTCTGACACAAGTGCCCAAGCACTGACATTAGCCAAGGCAGGGCTGTCTGTCTCTGCAGGACACACGGGAAGGCAGCTCCACCAGAGACGGAAAAAAGCATCTCTCTCCACGGGCTTTAAAGAAAGACTAGGGGAATATTTGTGAATATTTCCAAAGTTCCTACTGCTGCAAGTCCAGTATAAAGTCAACAAAACCAGCTTCTCTACCCTCTTCCTTTTTAACTTGTACAGCAGCAAGTAAAACGGGACTGCAGATTTCTGGCTTCCTGAGGCACATGACTGCTTTATTCTCCCTCGCTCCCTCTTCCTCCCCCACAAACTTGCAAAGCAGCAGCCCTACACACCGCAGTCCTCCTGCAAAGGTTTAGAAAGAAAGCAAAGGGGGACACCGTCCCTGTAGCTGAGCTGTGCATCACCCCTCGCAGTGCAGGCTGCTGTGGCTCGTTAAAGCTCAGAGCAGTAGTCCAGAGTGACTCTGGATTCAGGGTGTTTGTTCCAGGATGTCAACAGGGAGTTCTGCTTTTTAGCAGACAAACGCTTATTGCTGTATGAAAGTCAAAACCCTCTCGGCCACTTTCTAAACATAAGCTGAGCAGTTGATAGCCAAGACATACAAAAACACTTGTGACTTGAAAACCCTGGCCAAGCACACGCATTTTGCTGTGCAGTTGACTTTCTGTGGTACGCATAAATTTGCTGTTCTCTTTGGCGGATAGTTTCTCACATGTTTGACTGAGTCATTACCTTGCCACAGCTCCGACAGTGGTGTTTCCTGCGAATGACTGTGAAAGGAGCCTTGCACGCAGTGCAGTAGCTGCAGACTTCATCTGGAACCCAGTCAGGAGGATCTGTCAGAAACACAGCAACAAAAGGGAACATAAATCAAAACGGAATAAAAACAAACATGCAATTACCAGATCCTCAAGGGAGTAGGGAGAATAAAATATAACGGCAGCTGCTTTCATCTGAGTTTCTCAAGGTGCTTTGTGAACAGGCAGTTAGGTGAGTTCAGGAAGCCTGAGAGGGCTCAACTCCCCCTTTCTCTGCCAGGCGCCCACCTTTGGGCAGAGCACAGCAGGCACTGAAACTGCGCATGGCAGCTTGGGACTCAAAATTAAATATATCCTATTTAAGTGAAAGTGGCAGGGAAAAGGAGATAAGAAAAATAAAGTATGAAGACAAAAGACTATTAAAGCAGAGCTGGAACACAGGTTGTTTTGTCAATGCAACCAGACATCAAAACAAGCTTAGAGCTGAGATCATTCCCGGCCTCTTCAGCCCTCTCTACAGAAAGGCTGACTGCTTCTCTGCAATGAGGCAAACAGCTCTACAGATAATAAACTTGGAGCCTGATTACTGTCTGCAAAGCTGTTAGGACTCTTATTGGAAGTCACCAGTAACTACAACAAAACCACAAAATCAAGTGTACAAGACTTAGCAGAGAAAGAATTCAACCATTATCCCTAACAGCATGTTTCAGTTGTTTATTTCTCCTGTGAGCTCTCTAACTTCTCATAAAAGCCAAGCAGGGAGATGATTTGGTTTTGGCAAAGCAGAAGGTATTAGGCTCACTTCTGTTGAGCTGCTCCTGCTAGCGACAGGCTGACATGACCCTCAGAGAATCTAAAGTTATGAGTGTAGAAATTATGTAGCTGATTGCTTAATTAAGTTGTTAAAAATCTAATGAAGGCAAAGCAAGTTCTATCCAGAAGGAATCCATGGACACAGTGAACATGAACTACTCGATGTATTTACCCAAGTTCCCTGTATGCATCTTCTCTCTGAGTATTATTTACAGTATGCAACCCATGCAATTGCTGATTTATAAACCTGACAAGCAAGAACCCTGCCTCAAGGAGCATATTATCAAACAACAAAATATATGGTGCCGTTAATGCAGAGGTCAAGAGGGCTACAGCTACAGGCAGAAAGAAGATAATTAAATGAAAAATCCACTGTATTCTTCAAACATAGCCGTGACCAGTTTTCATGTGTTTGTCACATTGCAACATTTGTCAAATTAAAAGTAAAAAGAATATAGCATTCAATGCAGAAAATGTCCAAAAAGCAGATTAATAAAAACAAAGAGAACTTGACTCAGCTTTTATGGGCTCCTCTAAACTATTTTGGAAGTTAAACTAGTTTAAGCAATCTTTCATTTAATCATAAAATCCTAGAATGGTTTGGGTTGGAAGGGACCTTAAAGATCATCTAGTTGCAACCCCCCTGCCATGGGTAGGGACACCTTCCACTAGACCATGTTCCGCAAATGAACAAACTGGTCTGATAAAGGTCACAACTATAGGGACAGCAACCAAAACCAAAGTCTGCGTGCAGAGAAATGACCGATGTGAAAAAGAGGAGGTTGCACATAGCAGCCTTCACCTCATCCCTGGGAACAGTTCACCAAAAAATGTTCTGTGGGGACACAAGGCTACAAAATCCTACCTCAAAAGCAGGCTTTCCTATGGCAGCAGGGAGATGCAGGACTGCCAGCTTAAGTCGAAGTATTAATAGCAATGAAACCAAGGGATTTTCCTTTTCAATTCTTTTCCTTCTCTGCAACCTCCCTAGCTACCACATGTAACTCGGCCAGTAAAATTACTCCTAATGTGATGTTGATTTTGAAAACTTCATACCACTTTCACAGAAATCTCTGATCTGAAACCATGGCAAGCCTGCTGACCTTGGAGCATCTCCATGTTCTCCATCCAGGACGTCCCTTGGGTTATCACATATATTCCAAACAAAATAACCGAGCCAGTAACAATATTCCTGTTTAAAACTTGCCATTAGACTACATAGCCTTGATTATGTTTTCAGGTATTTAACCATCCCGTTGATTTTCACTAATTTTAAAGACAGCAAAATTTAGGAAGTTATTCAAGCTCTGTGCCACCCGGTCTCCCTTCCAAATGAACATAGAGCTGGTAGAAGCAGGTTTGGCAAGATGCCTACTTCACTGCTGACACTTTATCAACTGCATTATAATGTGGGCTACCATGTTCAGCTAGTTACTAATTTTAATGTTCACAGAAAAGCCACAAAACACAGGCCCTTTTTGTACAAACTGCAGCATGCCAATATGAACTACAGCTTCTGCAGCAGCTAGTACCATAATCACTCCTTCCCTTAGATCACGATTAGTCCAGACACATTATAAGCTAACGCAACCCCACCACAAAGACTCTGGAGCTCATCAGCAGAAAACAGCTTTCTTATCAGGTGTTTACCATTTGGGTTTTGTTTTGTTTGTTTGTTTGTCTTTTGTTTGTTTTTTTTTTTTTTCCCCCTGTTGTTGCCCTTGAAGTGCAATGTTGGAAAAGTTATTTTTTTAATTGACCTTTTATGGATTTAATTGTCTCCAGTGCTAAATAAAAAGAAAAATTGCAAAACACCCCCATGAGAAACAGCAAATTTATTTTGATAAATAATGACCTTATAAACTCATTATAGTCATATAATCCATAGTTCATGGTTACAGAATTACTTGACTGACAGATTAAGTCATCTACAAACTTTGTTTTTATATTTGCATAAAAAAATAAATCACATCTTAGTGGTACTCAATGTAAAGAAACAGTATAATCCTCTCTACAGAATGTTCTCCCTCATTAGAGGGACTCTCTTTACCTCCATGTTGATGTCACATCAGCTGATTCACTGAATTAACACCTCAGTAGAGTGAGCCAAAGGGCACGTTTTGCCCCAGACAGTGACTCAACAACAGTCAGGCCCTTCAAGAGGGCTATGCCGCCAGCCCATGCCCCATTGCTTCTGGGTTGTAGTGCGCTCCGAACATCCCAACTGCTCGCACCGAGCTCAGCTGCACTGCAGCACGCCCCCAAATAGTAACACTTAGTTACGTAACGGCTTTTAACATTCAAAATGCTGTACAAACATTAATTGCTTTAATCCTCATCACCCAGCTACAGTCAGTAAGTCTGTGTGGGGAGAAATCAGGAGAGAAATGTCTTGCCCAAAATCATACACTGGTGCAGTCCTGAAATAACATTCGAAATAAGAAACTTTGGGCCATTAGCCTTAAGCCTTTGCTTCCAGTTGTGACTGAAAAAGTCCTTACACTGAGCACAAACACAGAGGCTTCATTTTGAGAGTATGCACTTGCTGAGAAACTAAATGCAATCCTGGATTGGAGCCCAAGTGCTCACACTGTCAGGAAGGATGAAGCCCTGAAAGACTGGGTCTCTCTGAGCCATGCAAGCCCCAGTGGCAATGGGATCAATACCCTAGGTCCCCTTCACATGCCTCATCTCGCTCAACCTTGGGAGCAGCCTGACTTACATGTATTACCGATTGAGTCATCAGGCTTTTTATAGAACAGGTTTTTGAAATATTCTCTGAAGAGCAGTCTCATGAGGGGATGAAGCTTTGATATGAGGAGCAGAGTGAGTTATACAAATTAAACCCCTAGCATTAGCCTGAAGACGTGCTGGAAGCAGGGCAGCAGCACCGCACCCCTAGGCTTTTTATGTTATAGTCCTTCTCCGGGCTACGCTGCTCCATTAGCTCTGCATGCAGCAGCAAATGGAAACATCCAGTCTCTAAAGCACTATCTGCCTGTGCTTCGGGGATTTGTACAAGGAATGGAGGGAAAACCTTGTTCGTGGGCTAATTGGCCCACTGCTTTATCATGCAATGAGAGTTAAGAGAAGCCTGTTGGGAAACAAATGAAGACCACAGCACAAACATCAAAGAGGAGGAGGAAGGGAGGGAAGGGATTAACGAGACAGAAAGACTACAGAAATAAATTTTAGAAGAAAACGTTAAAAGCATGTACAGAAAAAAAGGCAGAGAAAGGAAGAGAAACAAGTATTTAAATGAATAAAACAAGTTTAGAGAAAGGAGAAGGCACAAGATAAAATTAAATAGTGTGAAGACTGAAAAAGACATTTAAAAAGGAGTAACAGTATTCCCAACTCTTAATTATACAAAAATCTTGCATTACGATCTCCCATAAATCATGAAATTTTATAGTCCTTTTATTCATGTTATGCTGTAGCTTTTAGAGTTCACCTTTACATGTCTCTGCAACTTCATTAGCTAAAAAAGTTTTCTGTTCTATAAAAGTTAAAAATCTCACACAAATCCAAGATGCTGGAGCTTTAAGAAAACCACAATCATGATAAAAATCATAGATGCTGTAAACACTGTCAAAAAGCACGTGCAAATTAATTTTGCTCAAGTATGTGCAATAGACCTACTGCAGTCCCATCTAACCTTAAAAAACCAAGGAGAACATCTCTGTGCCAAGGAGAACATCTCTGTGTCCCAGAACACAAGAAGAGCGCCTGGACCCGGATCCATCAACAGTGTTGATTCAAACAAGATTAGGCCAGAAAGTTCACTCGGTGGTCCTGAGACACAAGAAACTGGGTCAGGGGGTGGGGGAGGGAAATAATCCCAAAAGTTGTTGGAGCTTGCAGAAGGCCTAACTTAGCAAATCTATACCCTGGTTGAAAACAGATCAGAAAACATGCACACCACGACTCCCTGTTGAACAGCAGCTACTAAACCCTAAGCTTGTGGTGGTTTTTGCGTTATGGCCAGACAATTAGGAGAAAAGACCCTTTCTGCATCTTTTATCAAATATTCCTAATGCAGAACTCAAACTCAAAGTTCCTCCTGCATCGATGTGTATTAGATTTTAGAGCACATCATGCATAATACTGATTATACTTTTACCAAACTAACTTTAAGAGGGCTGTTCCTACAGCAGCCTGTGGAACATACACCGCTGCAGTCAAAGTGCATTACCCTCACAGCTGCAAAAAAGGTCAGATGGGCTTGCTGTAACTCTTCTGATGAAACCAGGAATTGTAAATTC